CTGAAATTCTCCTAATGTCCAACCCCTAATACGAGTTCAAGTCTATACTCAAGGGACTTGCCATTATTTTTTACATTATATCACATTAATTACATGTATAGCGAGTCTATAAATTTTCATGTAGCATTCAAGGCCACCTATTTATCCTTATAAACGAAATATTTGGGGAGATCCAAGGGGTTGATGTGTAATGGCTTTTTCGTGATATCTAGGTTTATAATTTTCTTATGAACCACTCATTTATTTTTGTATTTATATATTGGCCTTGTAGTGGATTTTTCTCTGTATTACACTCTCTATCTTTAATTTCTTTAGATTAATAATTTTCTAGCATAACAACACAAATAACTCATAATCTAACTATATAATTTCAATATTATAATTTATTAGTAATTACTATGTATTATGTTCATCATTCAAGGTTGAGGCCTCTAAAACTTTAAGAACTTTCTTAAAATCTTTTTTTCGAATTATATGGCTTGTTGGTTGCTCATTATCATTTGAGTGATGAGTTCAACATATTATTATTTTTATCTTTACTAAGAGAAAAAAGTAGGCAATTTTGTTGATTTATTTGGCCGCTTATTATGTAGAGTTCTGCAATGTCAAACGAACCAGTTATACTTGTACAATTAAACTTAAAAAAATATCAGCATATCATTCACAACGAACTTAATAAAAAATAATTAAAGGAGAACCTTTTGTCCTTCAACCCGTGTCACCTCCATCGCAAGCACATGATAAATTCAACGACTCTTATCTCTCTCTCTCTCTCTCCCTCTCAAAGCAGTCTCATCATCCCTACACTAAACAAGAGATAATCCTAATCCAACTCTAACACATCATAGTTTAATTAAACATTCAATATTCAACACTATAAGATGGTACATTTAATCAGTATCAAAGAAACTTCCATGTATTTTCGCATCATGCTTTTAAATATTCCAATTTAGCATTGAAGACGAACACATAATACACATTTATGCCTCCATAAATATCTTCTCGCAAAAACAAACAAAGATCTCTGAAGAGCAGAGGCATCAAGCTTTTTATCAGCAACAATGGAGCTGGGAGAATCTCTCTCTTCTACGCCAACTTGGGCTGTGGCTATTGTCACCGCCGTCCTCATAGTCCTCTCTCTGCTAATTGAGCACTCTCTCCATATCCTAACTCATGTACTCTCTCTCTCTCTCTCTCTCTCTCTCTCTCTTGGATATATTAAAAGAACATTGATTTATATGTGCCCTGCAGTTTGTTGAAAGAAGAAAGAGGAAGAGTCTTAACCAAGCATTATGCCAAATAAAGGCAGGTGAGAATAGAAGCCATACACTTATGTTTGAATATGTAACGCTGAATATTATAGGATTCCTTTTGATAAAGTGAAGTTTTGTGAACAGAAATGAGAAATTTGGGGTTCATTTCACTTTTACTGACTATGGCTCAACAGCCCATATCCAAGATCTGTATCTCTGTAAGTTCAGCTGACACTTTCCTTCCATGTAAGGATAGGCCGCTGACGCCGGCCATCAGCGCCGACGACGGCATAGAGGACGTAAATACATGCATAAAGAAGGTACATGATTATACTTTTTTCAGCTAAAAACTGTGCACTGTTTTTATTTTGAAGGAAGAAGTTCTTATAACCTAGAAGAAATTAGATAAACTTCACGAATTAGTTTAATTAGATATTTAACTTCTCTCCATGGAGTGAAAACCTTGTTATGGTCGGACAGATCGAAATTACGAAAGGGCATATAGATAAAAAGTTTGTTTTTTATTTATTTATTTATGTATTATAATCGAATCCAAACAAATTAGACTCTAAATTTTTAATTTTTTTAAGAGGTTTGACGATTTTTTGGTGCAGGGAAAACTGCCACTGATGTCACCTGATGGAACCCTGCAACTTCAGGTTCTTATATTTATGCTTGCTATTTTCCACGTCGTTTCCTCCCTGCTCACTTTGGGTCTTGCTGAGATCAAGGTAATTTTTTATTCCTTTTTAAGTATTTCTTGGTTCGCTTTTGTTTTAATTTTTTGTGCTTAATTGCTGCTTTTTCCAGACGAAAAATTGGGGAACATGGGAAGAGGAGGCTCACACCCTGGAATACCAGTTATCCAATGGTGGGATTTTTTGGAGTACACTTAAAAAGAATAAAAGCTGAAAGCCATTCTGTATTTTTATTAACGTTTGCCAAAAATAAAATAAAATAAAATAATTTTTATAGATCCGAGAAGATTTAAACTCGCTAAACAAACATCATTTGGGAGAAGACACCTGAAGTTTTGGAGTAACCACTGGTCACTTCTCTGGATTGTTAGTTTGATAATAAACTTTACTGATCTTCGACAGTGCTATAAAAATTTGCCTTTTTAATTTGGTTCAATTTTTTTAATAAATTATAAGAGCTGCTGTATGGTTTTCAGGTTTGTTTTGTGAGGCAATTCACCAATTCTGTATCAAGAGCTGATTACTTTGCACTTCGAAATGGCTACATTGATGTATGAACTTTTTTTCCTTCAAAAATACTAATTTTTGTAGTATATATAATACAATTTTTTAGAATTTAAGTAGAAAAAAATTATTTTTTATTTAAATTCATTCAAAAAAATTAAAATAAATTTAGCTATTTATTTAATATGTTAAAAATGAAGGTAGAACAACACATAGACTAGCCCCATTATAACTTTACATTTGGCTAAATAACTGTTAAATGTCATTATTGACTTATAATTAGTCCCATAAAATTGAAACTATAAACAAAAATCATAATTCTCCTATGAAAAAAAATTCATTTCGTATAATTAAAACTATCCAATTGAGAAAACTTTGCCATATCCTATTGATTATAAAATTATCGTTGACAACATTAAAAATATTTTTTAAGTTGACTAGCTTTAATCAAAATTTAAATAGAAAATGATAATTTTATTTAAAATAAATGTATAAATATTTATTCTTCAATTATGGGGTGAATTTCAAATTCTTGAAAAAAGAAGATTTCAATCTGTTGCAGACGCATCTTGGCCCAAAGTCTGTTTATAATTTTCACAAGTTTCTTAGAAGATCTCTGGATAAAGACTTTAAGGAGTTGGTTACCATCAGGTAAATATTACTCCTGCGCCCTTTTTCTACGGTTTTGTTTTAATCCATTAATATACAAGTTAAATTTTCTTTATTTCTGAAAGAGTAATTTCCAAATTATTTAAAATATGTTTTTTTAGAGGCCGTTAGAAGTACAAAAGCTAAATTACATATTTGAAATATTTCTGAAATAAATACTTATTTACTTTAAGTTCAACTTTTAGCCAATATTTATGCATTTTTTATATCATTTACATCAAAGTAAATATATTACTCATTTATATTACTTCAGACTAACTTCAAATAAATATTTATTTTATTTAAGATTAAAATTTGATACGGTTTAGAATTTTAGAAGTATATTTTAATAACCATTTTTGTTAACAACTTACAATTGACTTTTGATGTCTAAGTCTTTTTATTTGTTTTCGATAGTACAACGAAAGGAGTCATTATTGACTTATCAAGCTGCAACAATATTTTCTTTTTATTAAAGATATGTTTTTTCAACATTTTATGCGTTAACAAACAATTTTTATTTTTCTTATTCACCCAAAACTGCAGCCCCTCAATCTGGACAGCCGTCATCTTGTTTATCTTTTTCAATGCCGATGGTAATTTGTTTCTATGTGCATTTTTTTCAAAACTAACCGCTAATGTTTTTGGCCAAATGCTCTTGTTAACCTGTTCATTTTCTACTTCATTGCAGTTTTTAACAACCATTACTGGCTTCCTTTTATCCCTCTAGTGGTGAGTAATATTAAACACATATATACATAAATAAATATAAATATATTTATACACATATATATATAGAGAGAGAGAGAGATAGAGGTGGAAAAGCCTAGCAATTTCATGAATATATTCTTTTTTTTTTTAATTCAGGGTGATAAATAAAAGAATAAATTCATCGAAATTGTTCCCATGCTATCGATCGGGTTTTAAATTCCTGAAAAGAACAATGTTTAAAAGTAACAGGCATATAGCTTGATTAAGTGCTTATTCGTGCCTGCAGGTGCTCCTGGCCATTGGAACAAAGTTAGAGGTGATCATAACAAATATGTGCTTAGAAAGCAATAAAAACAGAGTTATTGTTTCAGGCGAAGTTTATGTGAACCCAAATGACGAGCTCTTCTGGTTTGGACAGCCTCGATGGCTTTTGCTTGCTATCCGTTTCATCTTAATCCAGGTATTATTAAATCCTCAGCTTTCAATTTCAGCTTTCTATATCATCATATTATATTGAAAAATTGCAATTTAAATCTCTTTTGCACTTTTTACTTTTCATATTTAGTATTCTTGAAATTCAGTTTTAACAATATCAGTAGGAAGAATCAAGTTTATAAATAATATTGATCCTACTATTGAAATGTCATTTTTTAAAATAATTTCATTTATCTCAAGTAATGAATTCTCTTATATTCATCCAGAACTCATTTCAGCTCGCTTTTGTCATTTGGTCCTGGGTAAGTTGACAGTTTACAGCTGATTAATTTGAAGTCCATAATGCTGAAATAATTTTACTTGGCTGCTAATTCTAGTGTTCATTTATTCTTCGTGCAGTACAAATATGGTTTCAACAATTGCTTCCATAGAGAAATACATGACTCTGTGTTCAGCTTTGCAGGAAGCATTTTGGTTCAGTTCTTATGTGCTTATGTGACTCTTCCTCTATATTCATTAGTCAACCAGGTACACATATGCTGATTTATTTGAATCAAACAGTAGTAATTTAACAGTCAAAGAGATTTAAATATGAACCAGATTTGTGAAGGTATTGATAGAGAGTCTTCTTTTTAAATAAAGAGCTAAATTTTAAGAACAATTTAATCATTAGTTTTTAACCATGTTGTCAATAAAACTAAACAAATCCCAACAAAAAATACGTAAACAAGTCATGGATTCAGATCCTCTGCAATTAATAATTGCAGTTATTAAATGTAATCATTCAATTTAGTTTGGAATACTGAAATTATTTTCTTAATTAAAATAATTTTGAGAAATAAAATTTGAGTTTGTTTAGGGCATGAAAATACAAAGCATTTAGAGATAGCTTTTATTTTGTTTTAAATCAATATGTTAAGTATTCGAACTCATAAAATTTCAGTAATCTGTTTCATCATCTAAAACTAAATAACTGATTAAAAATTTGGCTGTATTTTTTATTTTTTTTATTTTTTTGTGTAGGTTTAATTATGGTGATGATAATTAGAGGAAATGAATACTATACAATATCGCTTTGTGAGACAGCGTAGCACACTTGAAAAAGTCCAACTATTATAAGAAAACGGAAGTTTACCAAATTTTTTTTAAAGTTTACCAAATTTTTTTTTTCATTGAAAATAAACCCCTCATTTACAAGAAGTTTACCAAATTTTTTTTTCATTGAAAATAAACCCCTCATTTACAAATATTTAATAATGTTAGATGTTAAAAAATGCGTAATCCGTACGTCATTCTCACTACCTAGAATATGTCTTAGAAAAAATTATGTACATGCACATAATTATTATATCTTCATCCATTTGACATTAAAAAATTTTTATTTATATTTACAACATCGGTGTAATAAACATATACATGTGTATCAAGTTTTTTAGAAAGTTAAAAATGGTGGTGTTTTTATATGATGTTAATGATTTTGAAGTGTTAGCATATAAATATGAAAATTTTGATGTTCAAATAGTAAATTATACAAAATTTGTGGTATGTATATAAATGCCCTCATAAATTTTCTCATTGTAATTTGTTGAAGTAACTATTGTACCTTTTCAACTATTATTTTCTCATGGTAATATTGCTCAACTATTATTCTTCTGATAATTAATTCTTGAGCCTAACATTAATTTTTGTTGCTTTCTATAAGAGGGTCTAAAAAATTCAATTTTTACATTAATTTTTCCATTAATTTTTCTTTAATTCATTAATTTTTCCTGCATTCACATTGAAATTTGACCAAGTACGCAGCGCTAATGTTCCATGTGCCATAATATTTCATTGAGCGTATCTTTTTGTGAAATAAAAACATGTCATTATTAAACTATCAATGAAAAAACATATTCAAGTCAAAGGCTGGTGATTTTGTTTTTTTCTATTCTACGTTAAAACTATAATACCATTTTTTTAAAATATAATATAAGTCTTTTTATTTTATTTCGGACAATATTTAAGACAAAAAAAATTCATTTTGTGATATTTTACCCAAAAAGAACTGTTATCATGTTACTACTTGCCACTCGAATTTTAGCCCCGTTGCTTCAAGTCCTGAAAGTTTTACGATCAAATGTTCTCAGTTTCTCAAAGATAGTTATAAATGTGTGTGATCTTTTTTAATATTCTTTGTTTTTGCTTTTCTACGTCTGTAGCATTATCCACAACGATGGTATCATTATTATTATTTTTTCTTAAAAGTGAAATGCGCTTTTTCTTCATAAATTTATAACGTACCGAAAATCGTTTTCACCTTTAGGTATATATATATATATATACCGCCATATATATATATATATATATAAAAAGGTGAAATCGATTTTTGTGCACCCATATTTCAGTATGAATGACAGGAAGTTATGATATAAGTCACAGTCATCCCTCGTGCACCCATATTTCGAGTGGCATACCCTACGGTTGGGGTGAATTGGTTACCAGAGGGGGAAAATAGCCACGGAGGCATACAACTGATAATTAGATGATCAACCAATTGATCGAATACACGGCGCATCTATATATATATATA